CTTACTGATGCATCTCATTGGCCCAACCCAATTAGAAACCAGAGCACAAGGGAACTCAGCAGGTGCAGTCCGTCAAGGTCAGTCTCCTGGGCACAGAGAAGGGTGAAGGATGGAGGGAAAGCAGATCAGGTCAGGGACTCATGGAGAAAACCCAGCACAATCTCCAAGAATGAGGTGAAATGTTCTGCCAGGCCAGCCTGCTTAGTCTGTTCAGGCTGCTATAACAAAACCCTATAGACTGGGTGGCTTAAATACAGACAATTTATTTCTCACAATTCTGGAGGGTGGCAAGTCCAAGATCAATGGTGTGGGCAGATTTGGAGCCCACTTCCTAGCTCCAAATGGAAGTCTCATCACTGTGTCCTTACACAGTAGGAGTGAGGGAGCTCTTTTTAAAATGGCGCTAATTCGGGCGCCTGGGTGGCTCAGTTGGTTAAGCGACTGCCTTCGGCTCAGGTCATGATCCTGGAGTCCCTGGATTGAGTCCCGCATCGGGCTCCCTGCTCGGCAGGGAGCCTGCTTCTCCCTCTGACCCTCCCCCCTCTCATGTGCTCTCTCTCTCATTCTGTCTCAAATAAATAAATAAAATCTTTAAAAAAAAAATGGTGCTAATTCCATTCACGAGGGCTCTACCCTGATGACCTAACTACCTCTCAAAAGCTCACTGCTCAATACCATCACACTGGGGGGTTAGGATTCAACACATGCATTTCAGAGGGACACAAGCATTCAGCCTATAGTACCAGCCCACTAGGGGCTCAGCTTCAGTCAGAAATTAAGGCGGCATGGAAAAGAACATGACAACAGAGTCTGCACCTGGAGACTCTTACCTCTTAAAGATGGGAGCTTACCTGAGCGTGTCAAACATCCCCATGAATGACAGATGGATTTCAAACCCCCCACAATGGAGCTTTTGGGACAATGGTTGTGACCCTGTGGAGAACTGGTGAGCAGAGACAAGGTGGGCTTTCAGCAGTTGCTGTTGATTTCAGGAATGTGTTGAGAATAAGCCACACATGTTTTGATTCCTGACAACAGGTGGACCACAGAGGAAGAGAAAAAGAATGCAGTCTTGTTATATAGTTTCCTAATGACACCGATTTCTCTGAGTTTCTCAGAAAAATACTCAGAAAGGCAGGAGTGTGAAAAGTTATCATTAGGGCCCCACCTCACACCCTGAGTTTCTTAAAACAAAACTAAATTTCCGACCACCTTTCTGGGAAAAGAAGGGGCACAAGCCAAAGGCACGCCAACCCAAGGGCAAATAGGGATCTGACCTATTTAGAATTGGTCTTGGCTAGCCTGAAATTTAGCACCAGTTAAGTCCCTGGCTTAGCTGGAACACCTGTGAGCTTTCCCAGTGTCTGATGTTGACAAAGGGGGGAGGGAGCAGAGAGGGCTGCATACGTCTCAGGTGAAGGCACTGGTGGGGAACTGGAGAGAACAAAGGACTTTCTCAGATGTGGCCAGATAGAACAGCTGGGGAGTTCTCAGCAGCATACGAACTCCAACTGGAACTTCATGGTTCTTTGGGAAGCCAGGTGGGATTCTCTGACAGCGGGCTGCCAAGGCAAAGTGGCTCTGGGTCCCTTTATCTGCCAGCAGTGCAAGGACCCAGGGACATTGTAGGAGACACTGAGCTTTGGAGGAGGAGGGAGAGTTATAGAACCCAGGTCTTCCTGACCTTGACTTCTATTCCTCCTGTCTTTATAGTGTCTCAGAAGTTGAGAGTTTTGACACCATCCTGGGCGTTAGTAAGTAACTGAAGCAATAACTAGGAGTGATCATTAGAAAGTGTTCTGAGTCTTACTATGCATCAAGTGCCAGAATAAATTCCAGGTGAATTAAAAAGTTAAAGGATAAATATAACAAAAGAATGAGAAGAAAGTTTAGCTGATCCTAAGATGGCAAAGGCCTGTCAAAACACAAAAGCAAAACAGGAAACACCAATAGGTTTGAAATATATGTATACAAAATTAAAAAATTCTATATAGTTTTAAAATCACTCCCCAAATTAATAAGATAGAGTTAATAGGAAATAACAAGTTGGGAAAAATATTTGCAGCATATGTGATTACTGGTTAATGGCCTTAATATGAAAGAATACATAATGGCGGAAGTGCCTAGCTGACTCATTCGGTAGAGATGCGACTCTTCATCTCAGGGTTGTGAGTTCAAGCCTCACACTGGGCGTGGAGCCTACTTAAAAAAAAAAAAAAGATACAGGGGCGCCTGGGTGGCTCAGTCTTTATGCGTCTGCCTTTGGCTCAGGTCATGATCCCAGAGTCCTGGGATGGAGCCTCGCATTGGGCTCCCAGCTCAGCGGGAAGCCTGCTTCTCCCTCTCCCACTCCCCCTGCCTGTGTTCCCTCTCTCGCTGTGTCTCTCTCTGTCAAATAAATAAATACAATCTTTAAAAGAAAAAAAAGGATACATAAGGAAGAAATGGACGATCATCTCAATAGAAATATGCTAGGTGCCAATAAGCACATGAAAAATATTAATTAACAGTGGTATGATAAAATACCATACAGTTCTTCAAGATGGACGGACATAGGGAAAAACATAATATCCAGTATCGTCAAGGGTACAAAGAAAGGGGCATTCTCAAACATTTACAATTGGAATGTAAATTGGTTTGATTTTTCTGGAGGGTAATTTGGTAGTTTATATTATAAAGCTTAAAATATGCATAACTTTTGACTCAGGAATTTCTCCTCTAGGAATTTATCTTTTTTAAAGATTATTTATTTGAGACACACACAGAGAAAGAGAGAGAGAGAGAGCATGCTAGCACAAGCAGGGCAGAAGGGCAGAGGAAGAGAGAGAAGCAAACTCCCCACTAAGCAGGGAGTAGGGGTCGATCCCGGACCCTGGGCTGACCTAAACCAAAGGCAGACACTTAACCGACTGAGCCACCCAGGCGCCCCCTCTAGGAATTTATCTTAAGGAAATAATCAAGGATGTGCACAGAGACTTATCCACAAGAATATTTACTACAATGTTATTTTTAAAATGACAAATCCTGGGGAGGGGGTATTGAATGGTCAGATTTGACAGAGTTGGGGAGTGGCTACATGGTCTTCATTACTGTATGTGTTTCCTACTGTAACAAATTACCATAAAGTTAGCAGCTTAAAACAACATAAATTTCTTATCTCACAGTTCTGTAGTTCAAAGTCTGACTGGAGTTTTACTGGGTTACAACAGAGGGGCTGGCAGGACGGTGTTCCTTCAGGAGACTCCAGGTCAGAGTCTATTTCTAGCTTCTAGATGCTGTCCACATTCCTTGGCTCTGGTCCCCCTTCTTCCATCTTCACATTCAGCAACATAGCCTCTCTCAGACCTTTTTCATCACTTCATCTTTCTCTTACTCTTCTTTCACTGTCTTCCTCTTCCACTTTTAAGGACCCTTGTGATCACTTTGGGCCTACCCAGATAATACTCATAATTAGCTAATTAGCAACCCTAATTCCAGTTGCCATGTAACTATAGGTCCTGGGGATGAGGGCATTGAAGTCTTTGGGGGTCATTATTCTGCTACACTATTGTATTATTCCATATACTTATCTTTACAAAATATTTAATATTTTGTCATATTTAAAATACTAAACATTAAAAAACCCAAACCCAATTACCACTTTAGTGTATGGATGAAAGGAGGATATATATTCATAGGATGAATGCTATGTCCACATTAAAAGTCATAATGTAGTAAAATATGTAGTAGCATGGAACAATGTTCATTATAGGTAGTGGGGAGATAATCAAGTCTACAAAAGAATACACACAAGATGATAGCAATTATGTAAAACCCAAATCCCCAACAAACCTAAATCCACGTAAATAAAAAATGTTTGGAAGGTTATCGGTCAAATTGTCAATAATGTTTATCTCTGGATAGTAATTTTAATTTTCTTCATTTTTTTCTGCATTTCCCAAAATGTGTGAAATAAAAGGTGATGGAGAATGTCATGTAGGACATTTTTCTGGTCAAGCATTTCCCTGGTTTCCTAGCTTTTTTTTTTTTAATTAACATATAATGTATTATTTGTTTCAGGGGTACAGGTCTGTGATTCCTCAGTCTTACACAATTCACAGCGCTCACCATAGCACATACCCTCCCCAATGTCCATCACCCAGCCACCCCATCCCCCCCACCCCCCCCCTCCCCCTCCAGCAACCCTCAGTTTGTTTCCTGAGATTAAGAGTCTCTTATGGTTTGTCTAAAGGTTTTATTTATTTATTTGTCAGAGAGAGCCTGGTTTCCTAGCTTTTGATCATATTCACGCCCATCCCTCAAAGCTCGTCCTCCTCAAGAATATTTCAAGTCTGGCTCTCGACGCCGTTTTTTCAGGCCCGAGTTGTCCGCTCTGGAAGGTATAATTCTCAGAGGCGGGAAGGAGCCTTGCGGTGAACCAAGCTTGGTAGCGAATCGGTGCTTCTTAAAAACTTTTTCAGGGCAAAGCAAACCCAAGGCAGAGCCGCATCCCCCGAAGAACTTAACCAGTTCCTTGGAAGCTGGATGCACAAGTATACGAAACTTTCATAATTTCGCAGCCACGGATTAATAGTTTTGATTAATGCTACTGGTTTTAATAAACGAGCGGACACCTGCTGCACCGCAGAACCGCCGCAGAACTGGGGCCGGCGGCCGGGACCGTGGAGGGCCAGTCCGAGGCGCCCGCCGGGTCCCGCTACGCGACCGGGCTGGGGCGGCCGCCGCCGCTCCCTTCTCCGCGGCCTAAGCCCCAGGCGGCTTCCCAGCCGGGCCACACCGCCTCAGCCTGGTCCCGGGCACCACTTGTCCGAGGCGGAGCCCTAGGGCCGGCGGCCCTCGCCCAGGAGGCCCCTCGGCTCGCGCCGTCCGGGCCTTCGGAACGAGGGCGCCCTCAGACACCCCGCCGCCCGCGCTCTGCGGCCCCGGCCGAAGCCGACCCCACCACCGAGAGGAGCGCCTAGAGCGGACGGGCCCGCCTGCCCCGCCGCTCCGCTCCGCCCAGCCTCCTCTATCCCGGAAGTTGATACCGCTCGCCCGATCGCGTGCTGCTCGCTAGGGGTGTCGCCTTAGAGATCGGGACTGGCTGGGATTGCGAAAGATCAACATGCCTGTGAGTTGTTTACTTCTGGCTTTCCGTTTGTTTCGGGCTTCTCTATCGGGGGGTCGCGGGGGCGCGTTCGCCCGACGCCTCGGCGGGCCCGGGGAGGGGTCCCTGCCGAACACGGCTCGGTGGCTTGGATCCGCGCAGCTCCTCCGCGCGTGGCGGACTTGTTGGGACTTGCCCGGGCAGCGCGGCGTGTCGGGCCCTGTTCTGGGCGTGGAGCGGGGAGGATCCGGGGCGGCCCTGGGCTCAGGTCTGGAGTCAGTGGCTAGGAGGGGACAGCTCCTCGGGTGACACTCAGCCTTCTTGGGGTTTGGTGGGCGCCCGTGAGACTAATCTTTGGTCTTTTTGCTTTTCTTGCGCTGGTTGGTTCTCGCCCCCTCTCGGAAGCGATTTTCTGCGGTTTCCTTTTTAAAAACTGTTTTCGCAGTTGCCTTACATGTTAACTCCGTCAAGGACAGTCACGCTTCAGCCACTCAGAGTTCCTGTCAGATCAGATGTTGAACCCCGGAGGCAGGGAGCAGAAATCACCCCAGCGTTGGCACTCTCGGGTCTACCTCAGCGATTTCTGCTCTCAGCGGGCTCAGGGTTGGGGTCAGGTTCTTACTTAGCACCACAGTGTTGTTTTTATTGGAGACTAGTACTCAGTTGAGTAAAGAACGGGATTATGCGTACCAGAGGCTTCTTGATCGTCATAGAGTTCCTTTACCGGGGCTTGGAGAACACAAGCATTATAAAAAGTATTGATTAAAGTTACTTAACAGGCTAAATAAATAACATCTGGCGTGTTGCCTCTGCTGAGTATGACTGTTATCCCTTGTCTTGCATGTATATATCACATATGGTTTAATCTGCCAGCAGTGTGGATTCCTTCTAGCAATAATAATATGCTTTTTTATTCAGTTGGCTAGAGATTTACTACACCCGTCCTTGGAAGAGGAAAAGAAAAAACATAAAAAGAAACGGCTAGTTCAGAGCCCAAATTCCTATTTTATGGATGTAAAATGTCCAGGTAAAATTTCAAATCTTAATTCCTTTCCCAAGGAAAATTTCTGAAGGGATTGCTAGTGTGGTGTGTATGTTTAGATAGATAAGTTAGGACCTTTTGTGGAGTAGAGGTGGGATCACAGAATTGGAAATGTCAAAAAGGATATTTTCCTAATAAACTATCCAAACCACTGTAGAAACATTTGGGGGGAGGGGTTGCTGAAGATGAGACTCCAAAGGGGATAAGACATTTGACTTACTAAGTCGTTAAGCTGTTCAGATGATTAGTTTTCTTTTTTATGGTGCAGTGAGAAGTATGTTGATTCTTTAGTGTTAAGCTGTGCTGCCCAGTGTGGTGGCCATTAGCTATACGTAGCTACTGAGCACTTGAAATGTGGCTAGTCAAAGTGGAAA